CCTCGTGGTCGTCGTCGGCAGTGCTAGCGGGAGTTGACTCGACGGGGGCTCTCGATAGACAGTCGGCGTCACTGTGCTTGTGGCCAGACTCATATACGACAGTCATGTCGAATTCTTGCAATCGGAGCCTTCAGCGAGTCAGGCGTCCTGACGGCTCTTTAATGTTGGCGAGCCAACATTAAGCGGGACAACTCGGAACGGGCTCGCGTAAGGTACGAGCTGATCTTGGTCATCGCCCAGAGGACGACCAGGCATTCCTTCTCAGTCGTCGAGTAAGTGCTCTCGGCCTTTGAAAGTGTCCGCATGGAGTAGACGATTACCCGTTGTGTGCCCTCCTGCAGTTGAACCAGCACCGTTCTGTGTACCGTATTATTTGCGTCCGTGTGAATTTCGGTCTCCGCAAATTGGTCCAAATGTCCGAGAATAGGAGGCATCTGGAGTCTTCGCTTCAGCTCGTCGAAGGTGCGTCGCTTCCCTTTTCTCCACTCGAACTTTGCGGCGTCTTTTTTGCGATGTGTTAACGGCACGATGAGCTTTGAAAAATCTAAAAAAAAAACGCCTATAGTATGCACAAAAATTCGAAGAACTGTCGCCCCGCCTTCTTGTCGGGCGGCGGCGAAAATTCTGCCTCGACGCGCGTCTTACGTAATGTAAGACGCGCGTAATGTCACGGGGGTAACGAAGGTGCTCAGGGCGAGCACCTTCGTTGCTCACGCCGTGACCAAGGAACGTTTGTTCACCATAGGAGAACCGACACCATGTACGCTTGAGGGACAGGCCGGCGGTCTTGATGCCTCGAAGCACGGCTCGAAGTCGTCTCAAGTGTTCGTTGAGATCCCGTGTACATACTACGACATCGTCGAAGTAGACGAGGCAGCTCTGCCATTTTAGACCTGCAAGCACGGTGTCCACTGTGCACTGGAGCCTGGCTAGTGATGTGCACAGTCCGAACAACATCACTTTGAACTCGCGTAGGCTGTCGGGTGTGACATAGACAGTTTTCTCGCGGTCGCGTTCGTCGACTTCCCATCTGCCACTTGCCACTCTCTAGGTCCATCGACGAAAAATATCGGGAATGGTGCAGTCGGTCTAACGTATCACCGATGCGAAGGAGCGTATATACGTTCTTTTAGTCACAGCGTTCAGTTTCCGATCGTCCACGCAGAACCTCAGGGTTGCGTCCTTCTTCATTTCAACGACGACTAAGGACCCCCACGGACTTCTTAAGGGTTGAATGTGTCGTCGACGAGCATTTCAAGGACTTGATCTTGAATCGCCTCCATTTTTAAGGAGACTCGGTACAACGACTGATGGACAGGGAGCGGGTCGTCGTCAGTAACGGTGTGATGATTGGCTACACATGGTTCGTCGCAGCCTTGATGTGGCGAAGCACTCGACGAATTAGCTAAGAAGGTCAAGCAGCCGACCACGTTCAGAAGCTGGAAGCTTAGGGTCGATGTCAAGTTTCGAGGGCGGCATTCTCTCGTTCTGCGATGAAGTAGACACTTCTGAAAGTAAAGCGATTCGGCTGACTTCTGGTGTTCGTCGATGTGGCCCACGGGGACACCTTTTTGAAATCTTGCGGCTCTTCTCAAGAATTTGTAACCAGGGCCATAGCGCACCCATCTTGAAGTTATGTCACTCCTCTTACGGCAGCGATTCCTCTTTCTAGAAACGATTGGGTGCTTCCCTCAAGCAGAACTTCGCCGCAGGAAGCTTCATCGGTCCCGACGGGTGCGAAAGCACCAGACCACGGCGGTAAGCTCACGTGGTGTGCGTGGATACGGACCCCGGAAAACGTTTCTGCGGATTCCTCCAGGGGTAGGACAGGTTTCTCCAGCGTCAGGCGGTTTGCTCCAATTTTGATTACGGCGCAGTACTCACCTAGAAAGTATAACTCGAGGATAAAGTCCCACGCACAGTCTTTCAGAATAACGAGCTTCACGGGGCAGGTCTCAGGGTTGATGTGAAATCATGCAATGCACATTCCAGACGGCGTTATTAGTTGGCCCCTGGCGGTTCATATTTGCGGACCATTCCCTGGCGTCGTCATTTTCTGAAGCCGGTGTGAAAGCCTCCCACTCAAAACGAATGGTCTTCTCCGGTGCCCACGAATGCCGAATCGTCGTGGCCGTCGATGGTCACGTTGAGGGTGTTGGAGACTGCTGCAGGCGCGTCGCCCTGATGCATGGCGCTGGCCGAGTGCGAAGTCTTCCACGTCTTTGGAGGCTCTTTACGTTGTCGGCATTCGGCAACTCCACATGCATGGGTAACCGCGCTTAGTTTTCCCGGCGCGACAAGAGCGACAGGCTATCTCGACGGGGTCAGTGCACGGCGATACTGGACGTCGTGTTGACTGCAACCGGGACCCGCAGCAGGGTGCAGGTGATGAACACTGAGGTCTTCGGAGGTACTCTTCAATCTCCCGCCGTCGCACACCGTAGCGTGTACGTGGGTCATTCGGATGGAAGACGCGGAGCCCTATATATATTTGCCGGTAGGGGCAACGGGCGGTATACATAAGGTCGGCCTCCCCGCAGTGGTAATATAGCCGTCATCGGTCAGCCGTCCTCCAAACGTCAGGCATCCTATGCGAAAGTTACTCAGAGCGGACGTAATGTTGCGCTGGAGGTTCATGTCGTGGCGGCGCCGTATACGGACGAGCAGGAGGCGGTGGTCGTCGGAGAACTGCGTCGTAGATCAGCGTCTGTTTTTCGGACGATGCATAGTTGAAAGAGGCCTGTGGCTCGATAGCTCTATGAAGCTCTTCTTGTACAACTTCGGCTATGGACAGCGATGCCGGAGAAACTGCAGGCAGCGATGCCGGAGAAACTGAAGGCAGCAGTTTCTTGAGTTCTTCGCGAACAACCACGTGGCTGATCTCGCAAATCACGTCGGTGGTTGTGCTTAACTCAGAGCGTGCCGTTTCCAGAGCTGACACATTGTTAAGCCGATGAGAGTGGTGAGCTCAAGCCGTTATTACCCGCTCGATGTTTGTTTCTTCGGCCACAAACTCGACGGCTGTCGTTGGAGAATATCGGACAAGGCCGCCGAAGACCTCATTATTCACGCCTCTCGTAACGACCCTGAGTTTTTCCTCATCGGTGGCTTGATGGTCGGCCCAAGTCCTCAGCCGCAGAACATCTTCGACAGAGCTGGTTACGCTTTCGTTGGGTGCTCGAGTCCTCACCTGTAGAAGCTCTTCGGCCCGCTACCTACAGTGCTGATTTATGAAGGTCCGCTTCAGCTCGGTGACGCAGGCGTCTCACGACGTAAGCCAAGCCTCGTGGTTCTCGAAGCAGTGTCTCGCGGTTTCCTTCAGTGCGAAATATAGATTGTCAAGGCGCTGCTCTGTGGTCCATCCGTCATGACGGTAATGGGGTTCACTATGCGGAAATCATAATTTCACATCCTTGTGGGCTTCATCATAGCATTGAGTCAGATTGCATTGGACGACTGGCACAAGGACGACGGATTGATTGATTGATTGATTGAAGTCTTTTAATGACAAGGATGGCTCGAGGCCGCAGTGGGGAAGAAGGGGGGGGGGGGGGGGTGAAGGACGACGGATGGAGTGGTTATTAATGAGGTCTGCGGCGGCTGGTTGCTCATCGCCGGTCTCTTCGACGGTTTGGTCTTGCCATTGACTGTCAGAAGACCAAACTCCGGGGGCTTGCCTTGCATGCAGCGGCTTGCTCGTGCGTCGGGTTCCTCCTCGAAGAGTCTTCATCCGCTGTTGAGCGGGCTAGCACTGCGGCCACTCGGAGTGTTTCACTGTATGGGTTGTACCCCGCCCATCCACCAAAATGCCACGAATGACGGGGGGACGACAAAAGGATAAGGCAACTGACACGTTTAATGAGGCAAACTTGTGCCCAAAACAAAATAGAACAAAGGCTTGCCTCGCAGGCGTCGATGACGGCGTAACAGCGGGATCGAGCGCTGGGGCGAGACTGGACTGAAACCACCCCGCGAAGAACGTATTGCATTCGCGTTGGTCTCTGGAAGATTCGGCGTAGAACGTTCGGTGCATAGAACCTTCGTACGTCTATCAGACGACAAGGTGTCTCGATAAGACGACAAATTGAAAGAATAATTAAAAAGAAACAATCCCTCCCAGGATTCGATCCTAAGGCCGCCGTGCGAAATCCAAGCACTGTAACCATTCGGCCACGCACGCGCTCGCTCGGCGACGCGCGTGGCAATATAACTTTGGGGGAAATATTGGGAGAGCAGTCTAAAAAAGAAGTACGCTTAAGCTTTCTTGTTTTGTTTACGACCGAAAATATTGTCATCCTTCAGGTGAAATAAAGAACAGTTCGTAATCACAATTTAGTCGAGCATTCATCAAAAATATTTCTGCATCATGGAAGCTCACCATAAAAGAACAAAGCGGCTTTAGTAGGCTCTTTTTTCATTTTAACCACACACGATGCGGGGTTGTGCATTAGTATTTTTTCCAGCTGTATAACCTATATTCTGTTAGAATGTACAGTATTGAACAATATAAGCACTAATTCCAAAGCAACCTTAGAGAGCGAGGACTGGCCTTTTCCCTTTGGGAGGAAGATAGCCACCTAAAGGTAAATAAAAATAACATGCGGATGGAAGTGTAACTTTACTGTTCTCTCACTCTGCTGATCATGACAAAAAACATCACCCGCCCAGATCTATTCTAGCCAGTGCTCAGCGTGTACAGGCGGTACAAAACAACGCGGAGGGAAAGCAAATTTGAAGTGCATCTCTGGACACAGAAAACTACATGCAGAGCCATCGTGGAGTCTCATATTTGACCACGTGCACATTCTCATGCTAGTTGCGGCCGCCTCTTGGTTGTTTCAGTTGACGTTTTTTATGACCAGAGAGCGGAATCTTCATACGGGTAATTGTAGGCATTATAAATACGCGAAAGGCGCGTTTATACAAAGCACTTTTGATTCTTGGATTTTTATGCGAATTTACATTGCGTAGGTATATATGTAGAGCCCATTCCAACACACCTGTTGAATGTCGACAATATTAGAGCATGCGTTGGCTTCTTCGCGCCCAGAAAATATCTTGCAGTATTCAGAAGCATTGTAGAAATCCGCGGGAAGTTTGTCGTTTCCAAATCTTATTGACATGTGAGTCCGATTTAAGCAAAATTCTCTCTTTGATCTGAAAAAAAAAAAGATAATGTATAATACTGGAGCTGGGTTGCTGCTCCCAGGAAGAGCGGCTACAAAGTACAATGAAGCACACACAATCACGCCCTTTGGCAAACAGAATATTCGAAATTATTGCTGAAATTATCACAACTTCGCCTAAAATATCTCAGTGTTAGGGCTATCACCAGCATCTTTTGGCACGCATTTTAACTGTATTCTTCTTAATGGAAAAAAGTGAATTGTGATAACACTTCTCCTTTGATACGGCCCCAAAAGCCTGCTATGATTAGAAATGTATTATCACTTGAGACTTCTTTGGGGTGATCTGATTGATCTACGCTTAATGAATTATTAGTTATGAGTTGTAAAATCTTCAGTTGCAGTTTTTTGGAGGAATCTCAGTGACTCCCATTCCAGGACTTTACATTTTTTCATGAGCTGTCTAAATGTCGATAGATATTGGAAAAAAGCGCGCTTCGAAGCTTTGAATTTTCTTTAGTTCATCGATATTTTTCGCACTGTCATGACAAACCCAAAGCTACGCAGGCACGCCTTTGAACGGGCCTCACAAATACCTTATACGCAGAGTCTTACGCTATAGGGTGACAGGGGCATGCCCCGTCTGGTGAGAACAATGCTCTCTTCGCAGCTCAACAAAAAATTTCAGTTGAATCGGTACATAATTTACCCAATATTATCTAACCTGGAATGTTTTTATTTTTTGCATTATCCTTTGAGTGCTCTCGATTTCCTGAAAAAAATAATGCTATTTCTTATTTGTATATCTGTGAAAAATACATCTATCTGACGACGGCATCTTCCATTGGTCGGGCCACAAGATAATTTTTGAAAGTTCTTTGTAGAGAACATACTAATCATCATCGTTTTCACGTTTATTGTAAATGACGCAATTGTCTGAATATTAACGCACACCACTCCATCATCGAGGGAGTTTATATAAACCTATATAATCTACCCCAATACCGAAAAATGTTCATAAGGTAGCAGATATTTAATTTCCTACAAAGCTCGATCCTATCTTTAATTTACGCTGTAAGGTTTAATTTTCAAACAATTCAAGTACCTTATGGCTGGCCGAGTTTTAAGGATGCAAAGAAATATTTGCAGTTATTTTGCAACATCTTTTTTCTCTGTACCAAAAAGGAACTTACCTAAACCTATTTAACTTTCGGCTTAAGTCGTTAGTACTATTTGCTTGTGATTAATAAGGTTTTCTGATCAAAATAACTGTCAATATCTTTAACTCTCACACAACTTAGGCACATTGTTCAGACAGCATAGTGTTAGAATTTTATTTTATTTCTTCGTTGAAGAACAGGTTTTATTTTGACCTTGTGTCTAATTTTGTGATTTGAGAAAAAGCTACCTTGATTTCAATGTTACTTACATTTATTACCTAATATATGTATATTAAAGATTTACGTATCAAGCTAATTGAAAATCGAGTTCTCTTTGCGGTTAAGGGCCTTAAGCCAAAATGTGCCATGCGGTGGCAGTTGAGGATGTATGCAGCCTCTAACTTTACAGCTGATCTTCGCTACGTCCTTTACGCGTGGCAACCGCTGCATTGCAAATAAGCGAAGTACGGACATCAATTGCGGGGAACCTTTTGCGTCCAGAGTAATTCTCGGTCCGTGGTACTTTGTGTTTCTTTTAGTTTTTCAGGTAGTTTTACGAAAGCATTTCTTTTTCGCCAAAAGACAAATAAGATGAAAAATAATTCTCCAATAAAAGATCCTATAAAACGAATTGTATTTTCTAGTGTGGTTATGTTTGGGTAATTGTCATCGGTGAATTGCAACAATGACACTATCAACTGTACATTTAGGTGCTAAACAATATTTGCACCTTGTTCAAAACGCAAACTTTTATGGAGTGAAAATGCGCTAATATAGTGGTGACCAATTGTCTTCAATAGTTAAATGTTGTTTTGGCTAGATAGCTCCTGCTTAAAATGCATTGTTTGTTAATCCAACCGTTTGATACGATCAATATTTATGCTCATATTGATTTAATGACTTTCTGGTTTGCATTCTATACTGCGTTTATATCGCAGTCTACAAAAATAAGCACATCTCCATATTTTGAGCAAGAATAGCTAAGTCCCCGTTATGAGTTAAACTTTACTTTGACAAGCATCGTTCGAAGTGCCTCATGCGCGCCTTGTGGGCTGAGTACTGAGCAACAGAGATGTGTTCAGATAAACTTATCATGTTACATAGCTTTTCAAAAAAAGAAGAACGTAAAATAGTGTTTTGCAACGACATTTCACTGACAGGTGGGTTTGAATGTCCTAACAGAATAAAAACAAAAATGCAACTCCTCAGTATTTTTATAGGTTCTAATCGTAAGGCACTTTTGACTAATTAGGTGACATCCAAAACATACTATTGCCTCAAAAAGTATTGAGAAAGGTGATATTTTGTTTACATTTTCGGGGGAAGGTCAGGAATTCGTACACCGAAAAAACATATGCGCACATTGGCACAGCTGCCACTAAAAGCGTTGTTCAAGTGATCGACGGCCGGAGCGCTAATTTGGTAAACACGGCGCGGCGCTGCCAAGTCGTGAATGCACCAAGAGCGAGAGTGGCCGGACCGTTCTCACCTTACAATCTGGAAGAGACCCGGTAGGCAATTATTGTTTGCAATTTCTTCTTTTGTATTTAGAACCGCTGCTCTCAAAGAGCAAGCATAGAAAGACTCCCTGTCCACGGTCATGTATTACCGGGCAAAGCCTGAAGCGGACAAGTTGTAATTCAAAAGTGCTCTTTGGGGTTGGCTGGTCTCTGGTAACCTCTCCCATACTGCAAAAATGACACTGGCCCTGAAACCTTCTGTGTTGGTTGGCCGGTGTTTTCGCGTCTGCAGTGCCACGCTTCGACTTTTAACTGGCCCCCAAAGTTTCTCCTTTGTGCTGAGCTTTTTTTTAGTGCCAGCTTTACTTTTTCTTGCGTGATACTAATAGATTCCCCACCCCCCCCCCCCCCCTATCCCCCCGATGTTTCGCATACTTTAACAAATAATGACATTTTATAATCTCTAACACATATTTGAGATATTTTTTTATATCAGGGCTTAAAACGATGTTTTGAAATATATCGGTTGTCGACTGATCGCAAAAAGGAATTTTTACTCAACAGGAAAAGGTGGTGGAGGCTCCATCCTTCATAAGAGCAGCAGGAGAAATTCGACAGTTTAGTAGACTCGCCGACTTTACTCATGACGTAACCGGTGTCAGCTGAGCATGGGTTGGCTGGAGACCTCAGATCGTCCCAATTTATTCCAAGCCTGCAAATACAAAAACAAAAATAAAAAAGTCGGCCGAAAAAAAGTGCCCAGTTGCGACCATACTTGTACGTAATTCGTTACAAGTAACGAAATTACTTGTAATCCCTCACATTTATCAGTAATTTCGTAACGGATTAATTACATATTTTCTAGAGTAATTTTAAAGTAATTCCGTTAATTTTTTTACGTAAGGGGGTGGGGTTGTAAAGTTACAGTGGTAAAGTTGAGCGCAATGACACGCAACGGGAGGCTTGGCACTCTTCAGATCCGGAGCCTTTTTTTGCAACACCAAGCCCCTGAGTCTATTTTTTTAAAATCCTAACAACAATATCAAAAAATTCAAATAAAGATTTTTACAAAAGGAAAAAAAAAAGGGGGGAGGGAGGGTACAAGTTACACCCGCTTTTTTTTGTTTTGCGATCGACGGCGAGGAGAGGACACCAAGGGATTGTATCAATCGTCGAGAAGCTCGAGGCGGTAACTGCACAGACAAGAATTAACAATGTCCTTCTCGGTTATAGACTTAGAGTGACTATGATCATTTTCATAATGTCACAACACTAGACAACGATCCGTCTACACTGAAATATACTAAAAGAGATCTGGTAATATGAGAAGGTGTTATTGCCAAAACCATGCACGCTTGTACATGCATGTAAGTCACCCTTTTTGTGAGTCAGCTTTTTGCCGGCACTTCGAAAATGGTAATAGTCTTCCTTTCTTCTTCTAACTGTACTGACCCCCGCAGGACGCATCTTACCTCAAGAAGATATTTTTACAAATGAAACATAATGGTGGCTGACGTAGACTTGATATTCTGGCTTGAGAAGAGAGTGATACTCGTGAGTGTGACCATAGCGGGGATTACTTAGTACTCTGCCCTTCGCTGCCCGTGGCATCAGCGGACGTCTACCTGGAGGAGACTGGAGTAAACTGCACTCGGTTCGTGCTCCGTGCGTTTTTGAATAGCATCAAGAAAGGTACACACGGCAAACGTGCGTTTACGTTTCCTTGTTTTAACCGCCGTCCTAATTAATTGTTGTTATGAGCGACTTTTCTTTTTATTGCTTATGTTTACTGATATACTGGAACCTTTTTTTTTTATTCACCAACATCTCTACCGAGGATCGACCTGTTCAGAACCAAAATAAGAAGAATATCGAGCCAAACTTTCTTTATTTTTTGGATTATCACATTACTGTTACAACTATGTTTTGCTATTGTCTGGTAATATATGCCGGTATAGTAAGATGGACATAATTCTTATGTTATTTTTGCCTAGATTGATGATGACTTGTACAGCTTCGCGATTTCGACAATAGAGATTTTTATTAGATCGTCCCGATGAGTCCGATAACGATATCCAATACTCCGACGCCGCCCTTGCGCATGCATCATATCGTTATCGGGGCTATCGGAGGTATCGGAACGATCTACTAAAACTCTCGAATATCAGGCAACGGCTGCAACGAGAAAGCTTTATTCTACCTTCGGGGTGAATAGTACTTCCATTAATTCGCTGAAAACTCTAATTTAGAGCATAAAGCGTTCGTGAGGGACAATATGGCACTCCCATGCAGTGCCATATTCAAAGGGTTTTCAACATAGCGGTCGACATATTGAGTAAGAAATAACGCAAAATGTCTGACGAGACTTTCGAGAGTCAGCTCTTGCTCAAAATACTCAAAGTCATTAAATGGAACCTGTTGCAACAATAAGAACTTGAATAACCCTCTTCCCTTTGTTTCTTACTTGAGTGCATTAACGTTGAAAGTAACGCCACGAAAGTAACGGATTACATTTTGGGTTAACGGTCACTTACCTTTATTGGAGGGTAATTGTAATTGTAATAAATTACAATTTGGCCTTGAGTAATTGTAAATGTAATTCCTTACTATTTTTCAGTAACGTGTAAAAGTCTAGTTGCGACCCTCTGAATGCACGCATCGCAACGGTGTAGAGACCGGAAATCTCTAAGAATAACGCAATTCCGCAGAGGCTAATGCATATTGCACGTACGAAGGGTCCTTTTTTTGTAACGGGTAGGTGTGAACCTTGCCGGGGCAGTCTGAACAAGCATCTACCACTCGAGCCGTAAATGTGAAAGCAGGTTTTCCCGTAGAAGTGGGCAATTGACAACAGATCGTAGGTATGCCTTTTTGTACACTTCCGCTACAGTCAGTTTCCGCCTACAAACTAAGAAATGGCGACCGCGAATCTTCAGGAATACGTTTGGTCATATGAGCGCCCCCCTCCCATTAAAGTATTGACGTGGTGATACAAAAACAGGTTATGCTTTGGAAAGGAATAAAGTTAATGTGGAGGTTTTAGCTTAAAATTGTTTTTTTTCTACTGTTTAATAAAGAGCGATGAAAGCGGTCCTCGTGAGGCAAACGCGTGATGCTACGGGATCAAAAGATGTTTTTTGTTTCTTATTCAAGGATGTTCTTACCGCACCTAATAAACAAAAGATGTGACCCTCTAATTGAGAGTGGCGTAAAAAAACAATATGATATACGGTTGAAACTTGCGGTCCCTAATTTGTAATGCGCAAAACTGAAATGCTGTAAAAACGCATTTGATTTACATCTGAATGGACGTGGTGTTGCGAGCATGTCCGTGGTTTCATGACTCTTCTTTGACTGTTTTATAAGTAATAAGGTCACTGCCGCTTACATATTAAAGAGATATTGGCTAAGAAAAAAAAATATCTCAATTTCAGGGAGTGGGGACTCGTTTACAGATCATCAATAATTCGAAGGTTAGTTACGCAGCTTAAAAAGAAAAATGTTGTATATTGTGTTTTAACACTTTTATGTGACTGTGAGTCAAGCTACCGAATTTGAGATAAAATTGAATATTTAGTTTCGGCAAGCTCAGTCGTATCACAGTAACCGAGAGCTGAAGCAATGCGGGCTTGGATAATCCGGAGCGTCTTGCTATCGCTCCTCAGCTGTTAATATTGCGTAATTAATTTATGTGATCGCGGAAGAAGGAATCGTCAAGGAAGATCCTGGATCATAATAGTCGACTCCTTGTGTTTCTTAAAGGTGTCAATTTGGAAGTTTTGTACTAAAATCGTTTTCTAATATACCACATTAAATCGAGTCTACTAGAATATAATTTTTTTCAAAACAAATATATAAATTATAAATATAAATTAATATAAAACAGGTCGAAACTATCTTGCCACTTTACTGATCCGCCGTGTTGTTGTGGCATCAAAAGTTATAAAAACATCCACTACGTGGGCAGCTTGAGCCTGTTTATCCAATCCCTTCTGGAGCAATGAAGGCCTCCGGACGCCCCAATCTTCGTCCCATGAAATCTCATCAGAGTCGGATAGCACCAGCTCAGCAATAGACGTATTACAAAACTGGAAGCGTCTCATCCCGGCGAAATGGCACGTTATGAATGTGAAAATCAGTGAACAGCAATATACATACGAGCTCCGCTCCTGGCCCAAAGGTTCTTAGAATGCAATGCACACGGTGAGGGCTAGCTGGACGTAGTCTATTGGACCCGAGCTCGATGCCGAGCGTCCTTTGACGCCTTGATTGGACACGAGGCCCAGCGGGGCACTGACTTCGCACTCGTATCCAATCTGTGTTTTTGGCTCAGCTTCACCGTAATGACGTCAAAAATTTAGTGCACGTGGTTTTGATTATTTTAGGCGCTGTTGGTTTAGTAAAGCGATCGTCCGCAGGCAAGAATATACTATATGTATGTATGTCTGAATCAAGTAATTACGAATTAATGTTTCAAGATTTTGATCACGCACGACATTTCAGACGATTTGCCGTTCGTATCTGATCCACCGGCATCGTCTCTGAGGGAGCACCCGCGGCATCTGCTTTCGCAATCCGCCAACATATGGGCACAGATGCCGCCACAGAAGAAGAATGGTGTAAAAGGTTTTGTTTCCTTGCATGGAGCAAGCTGTTTTAGAGCATAACGCTAAGACTGGGATCCAGGTTTTGCGTCTAATATCTTGAACCCTCTTCCGCACAAAGAGCTTTCGGTCGGAAACGGATGAGGCGTCACTCTGTTGTTTTTCATCCTGGTGTTATTGCACCCCACAGCATATCGCCAATTTCCCCATCCTCTATCGCATGCATAAAATAGACTAAACCAGAGAACATTTGCCAAACCAAAGACGCTCTCTATAAACACACACTACTCCGTGGAGAGAGCGTCTATTCTCCGATACAACACTAGAAGTCACGAGTGATTCCAGCGCCGCCCCTGCTTGTTGTTGCCAGTAGAGCGGGCAGCAACTGATTAGGATGTGTAAGAGTAAACTTTAATATTCACTTTCGCGAAAGAAAATATTCTTAAGGGGATAATTGTTAAACTCCGGGTATGGGGGTAGATAATATTTGCATGATTTTTTTTTTAAATAAAAATCGATGGCCAATATTATTTAATCGGAGCTGCCATCCCAGACGGGGATGATAGCATAGTTTGCCGAACCTTTCGCGGTTCAAATGAGGCCAGGAACAACCTCGGGATGGTGATTTTATCGAAAGTTTCTCCAGCTGAGCAAAGGATGAGGGGGCTGTGGGGGGGGGGGGGGGGGGGAGTTAAGTAAAGCCAGTGTAGCCTGTCTGTCTTCAATGTCCCTCTTTCGTTATGGCAAATTAGAAACAAACACGCTCGACCGTCTACGAAATACTGTATGGAGTTTTTAATAGGATTAGGGCTTGCGAGTTAGGTTTTTTTCTTATTAGAGCCACCTGGATGACTCCCCTTTAGTTACAGTAGTCTTTCAGCGAACAAAATGAAGTCAGTGATCTAATGCAGTACATTTACTAAAAGAAAATACGTTCTCGGAGACACGTCGCAACTGTTCGTGTTTACGAAATGCGTTTTGACAAAGCATCACAGTGTCAACAAAACGTGTGTTCACGAAACTTTAGTCCTCAAATGACGTGTCCATCACGAGACCATGAAACGTGTTTTCATGATGCGTGGACAAACAAATAACCCTATGAAAAAAAGCCCTTAAACACTTGCGATCCCGGACCAGAATGCAGATTTCACAGTGCATCGGACCTCAAATCGATGCGCTGTCTTTGAGAATGATGACTGGTGGCCCTTTCAAAATTAATTGAATCCCGGGAAACACAAAATAATGCGTAAGAAAATCGAAAATCTGCTCAGACTGGAAGTGAGAACGGCCAACCCAGAGATGGAGTCACTGAGCTTGTTGCTACGCAAACAAGGAATGAGTAGCTTCACGCCACTAGATTTGTTATATCATAAGCTCTAGAAAGCAAAATTCTAAACTGGAAAGAGTATCAATTGAACTGTGCTGAATAATCGCCATGCTTATACCTTAACCGATGCGCGTTCTGAAGGCCGGACGGATTAGACGGCAGTAAGGGGGAGGGTTGGGTTCTCAGGACGGTCGCCACAAACTATTCAGAAAACAGCGACAATGCTTTCATTGACCTCACAAGGTGGGAAGGGTGGCAGAAAGCGTTTATAATGAACCATTTTCATAACCCAAGGAGTAGATAAACTAAGGCCTACGTATCCCCCAATGGGCAAAACGTGCTGGGGCAGCGGATACAAAATGTCGGTGCGGCGTGCGAATTCAATATTTGGGCTGCGCATAAAATATCTCTATTTCTTCTACCTCGGTTACTCGAGGGCGAAGTAAGCGTAGATACAGGCCAAGCGAGGGCCCGCCCACTTTCGCTGCCAACGCAGTACCCCGTAGGTCCCACTTCAGCTACGCTTGGGCATGCCCACCATGGGCTGCATCGGTAATGGTGTCGTGGATCCTAACTCAGCAGATTTAGCACAGAGGCGGGTCCACGGGGGGCATCGTGTGGTCATGGTTTGCCCGTGCAATGCCCCCGCGGGTCCCGCTTCTGTTATGCGGTGCAGAGTTATGGTCACGCGACCCCACAAAAACATGACATCAAGTTCACAATTAAATTTGGCGCGGAAATTGAAATATACCGCGAAAAAGTATGCTGTCATGCGAAGTCACAGTGTCACGTGACGTCACGGTGTTACATGACCTGATGTTACCTCCTCATTTCCTCACTAAATACAACGGAGAAATATTTCGGTAAATGTTTATAAAATGGTCTGTTCTTTTAATATTTCATCAAGATCTATTACACCTTCCTAGCATTTGACGGAGCGTCTAGACCCGAGAACTTATTGGGAATAAAGGACATAAAAAGTGCAGCGTGCAGGGCAAACTTAGAGGTACAGAGGTTAATATATGTAGCACTTACAGTCGTGCCACTTGCTGTACCATACCAGAAACTCCAGTAAACGATCGCCCATCGTCTCTTGACAATGCAGTTGGCCGCCCTCTACATGCTCCGAGGAAATAAGATGCAGCTGCAATATATTGCGGTAAAGGTTGCAGACAAACTTTATGGCATTTTCAATATTATATTGTAGTATGAATAGTATTATAGACAATCTCAGTCATATAAGTATATTTGTCATAGTAGACATCATTTATAAAAAAAAACGCAGATATAATAATTTCAGTATAAATGATTCGTCAAACACACACAGAGATACACACAAACACACAGACAAGCATGCACACACAAATACACACACACACACACACACGCACACAAGCACATTGTGATTAATTGCGGAAACATATTATTAAAAAAACACGTCCCTCACGACTTTCTTGAACGGCTCCCAAAACAACTGAGTTGTTGCGAAAAAAATCTAGACCCTTTATATTACGCACTGGTGACCGAAATGAATCACCGAAGTCGCAGGAGATACCACTCTGACTTTTTATTAGTGGCTTGTCCGATACTCGTATCTATATTCCAACGAATATAAAGCGATTTCTGAGCTCAAGCCGATAATTCAACGTGCCACTAGCGAAATTGAGCCGCTAATAAGCTGAAATGTAATTCACAACTTTGTCAAAATGAGAAGTCAGCCAGAAGATTCGTGAAGTGCATTTATCCGCTATTGTATTTCACAAATAATTGCAGTCTCAACTTTACGTTAAACTAATACCGCACACTGATCTAATATATGATCAGTTTTATTACAAAAATATATTTAGCAATTTTGACGGACATTTTTGGTTATGACATATGCATAGACTACTGAAAAAGAAAAAAAAAACGTTGCAATTAGAATTTATTTGTATTAAAACCCGTTAAACCATAGACGTAATCGGTTCGTACTTTTGCTTACCGGTAAAAACAAACTGCGAACCGGTTTGGTCAAACTGCTCACAGGCTCGATCGAACTTACCACCGGTTTGATCAAACCCCTTTCTTTTTTAACCTAGCGTTATGCGGACCAGCTCACACCGCATAGAAGTGCGGCGAACAGCTTGAAACTCCTTACCTGTTTGGTGAAATGTGTGAACAGCTTAATCGAACCGGGGAGAAGTTCGGTGATACCGCTGCTTTACCGCCATGTATGAGAGAGAGAGAGGAAGAGAGAGAGGGAGCGTGCGGGCCTGCTCTCGGCTACTCTTCGTTGGGGCTTGTAGCCGTTTGGATGTGTGACAGAGCGCTCTGCCGACCACCTCAAACCAGGGTCCCGGAAAAGTGCTAGAACGTAAGCTATGTTGCCCCCTTGGTACTACACTCTGTTTCTCCTTAGTATGAACCGCAGCCGACACTACGAGCATCTAATTAACTCCAGCGCTGTAAAGCTGTCAGGCTACTAAGAGCGCCGCTTGTCGTTGTGCCCTTATGAGTATCACACTGACTCTCGCAGTCCTGTGGATTAACTCGGATAGCTTTAAACTTCTGATGCGGTCGTTTGTATGGTGAGCACGAAATGAAACCCGAACGCCGGAACGCGTGGCCGTTGATACATGCGGCTTCACCTGGAGGGCCCCTGAGAACTAATCAAAATGCGCCGGGGCGCGAGGGTGCGAGTCCTAGTAAGATGAGCTCGACTTTTGCGCGGCGCGTCTGGGAGTTCCGCGTTTCGCCGGTGGCACGCTGTAAGTGCCGTCACAACCGATACAAAAAGCGCTGTCACTCGCTTTGTATATCGGATTCCCAGCGATATCTCTTCAGCGCTGTCATTCATTATCGCTGTGTGTATTGCAAGGGCGAAATGAAAGTTGAAACATTTCGTGCACAGAAGGCCCGTAGTGCTCGATGACGTGTCACCGGTACCACGCCTGGTACGCGTGGCACGTTGTTCACCGGAGGGTGAACAACGTGCCACGCCCGGTTTCTAAGAAGTAGTGAAACGTCATAACAGCAAAATAAAATATGTTTATTCGCACGACCATGCTCTTTATGAAAAGAGAAATGCTGCAACAGACCGTCGCGGATGCCTCGGTTTTCATGAGCAATGCCCATGTTTTTGTGCGAAGTTATCAGTCGAATCTTAAAAAGCGAGGAATTGTTTGCTGACGCTCTCTTTGGTAACCACCGATATGCCAGGAGTATCGATTCAGGAGCGGAATAAATTCATCACCCTGTCAGAGCAGGGCCTATCGCAAAGAGCTATAGCCAGGTTAAGCGGCCGCCCGGTATCAACCGGTCGACAGTGCGGCGACAGAAAAGCACCCCGAGTGACGGCGCTTACAGAGCGGCACCGGCGAAACGCGGAAGTTTTAGACGCCCCGCGCGAGGGTTCAGGACATCTTAGTAGGACCCGCACGCTCGCACCTAGGTGCATTTTCATAAGTTCTTAGGAGCCCTCCAGGTGGAGCAGCCTTTATCGATAACCACGCGTTCCGACGTTCGGGTTTCATTCCGTTCTGACTGTACTATTTTATTAAATGCGTGAGCATTTATTGCACTTGTGCATGAAGCAGTCGTTTTATTTGCACGGTCGTGGTTTGGAGAAGACAAGACTGGATGGGTGAGGCCTCGGCGCGTTTCCCGCCGTGCTCTTTCGCTCCGTTCGTTAGCTGCATATGTCCCCTTTCCCTTGCTCGGGCAGAGGACGAGGTGGGCGCGACGTAAGGCGCGGTCCACCGTGCATGGACAAGTGCTGCATGTTGCAGCGCGTGCACCATTGTGCGAATCTCCCAAATCACTCGGAAAGTGTGCGCGCGAGGGAGCTGGGTAGTCCTGGTTGTCGTGTCGTCTGCTAGCTTACGGCCACTTTGAAACGGAACTGGCGTTCTAAAGCTAATACAAATAGACGTATCCAAGTCACGCACACAATGTCTGAAGGTTCAGAAAAGCTTCCTCCCCATTGCACAATAGTGACGATCTTCGTTTGGCGATCGCAAAGCGAACAGTATGCGGACCGTATGGCGATCGAGGATGGCTGTAGTGGCTGCGTACGAAACCACCAACGCCCGGGAGAACATATACTGGCTTTCCGGAGACAACTGTATGCCAACGGTGGCAAGGTTCCTATTCTCACCCTTTGCTGAGTTGAAAACCCTTGCGTTAACTGGCAGCGCATTTCGCCTAAAATTAGCGTAGCGAGAGCAGCGATTTCGGCATCATTTTTATTGTATGTTATCGTAGCAGCGAACACCTCTTGTGTCCCTCCATTCGGTTGCTTCTATGTGCTTACTTTCGGGAATTGCGGACAACGGGTGCAGCCAGTATTGGAACCCGCCATAGCGGGTAAAGTAATCTCCCGCGGGGCGGCAATTCCGCGTTCGGCCTCCTCACCCGATCCCCCTTATAGGGAGTATTCACTGGCTGCCATATCCGTGTGCGCTGCTGAGCGCGTGCTGACGGCGAGCTTCCGCAGTCCTTTTTGAGCTTGCATTTAGCACCATCAAGGCTGCCGGTCTTAGCAGGCTATAAATGTGAGCTCGTTCTGGGCTTGCGCTCTAAACGTTGCCCTCAAATATGGCGTCCAGTGAATACCTCCTATACCATTGGGACCTCCACCATTGAAAGCAAAACAACGCCACTTTTCAACGCAGCACGCTGGTTGCAAGAATAAACTTGTGTTTTGTAGCTCATATAATTATTAATTGTGTATTAATTTCAACTCTCTGTTGATTTTTGCCTAAGCAGGGTCGTCAAGTTCTCAAGGATGGACCCCTTCTGTGCAGTCTTCGAGCTACTTGTAACGACCTCACCTTGTGGTTAGGCGCCGTGGTGGACATGAACAGTGCGTGAGTGTGTTCGTGCGCCAACTGCTACAGGGGGTGGGAACTGGCGGAGGCATCACCGGAATTTCAAAGCCGGCTGGTCGAGATCTCGGTAGCGCTGAGGACATTTTTAGGAAGGGAAGATAAAGGCAGTCGCTGCGGAGATAAAGCACGAAGACGACATGCGTGGTCAACGGGGCGCGATTAGCGGCCGGACGGGAAGCACCGGGGAGACAAAGGGGAAATAACCAACGTGAAGAAAGCTCAAGCTGCAAGACAGCAGTGGGACTGTGAGTGTTTGTCAGCCGTGTCCTGAAATTTCCAATTTCATCTAAAGCTGTTTGTCTCGGTCACACACCAAATGCACCATTTTGCACCCTGAGATTTAACTTCAAGTCCTCATGTTGCTTTTGATGATTGCATTGTTTATCTTAGCGGGTGTCCGCGTGTACCGTTTGTGCGTGTGCTATAACTATTACTTTATTTGCGACAGGGTATTCTTTACGGTGTTCACAACTTGTTGAGAATGAACGTAAATTTGAGCAGCGACTGATTGCTCAGTGTTCTGTGTTCTCAACGACAACTCTTATCGGATGTGCGATGGCCTTTCTATGCGTCAGAGGTATGTCGCCTATTCTAATTATTTTGCCTACAGAAAAAAATGAAAGCCGTTTACAACTCCCTGTAACGCCGAATTAGAGCGCAGCTCTTGAGGAGGAGGAGGGAAGGGTACTGGGGGGTGGGTCAAGTGACCTCGGGGGGCGGGGGGTCACGTGACCTTGGGGGTCACGTGACCTTGTGGGAGTCACGTGACCTTGGGGCGTCACGTGACGTCGGGGGGTCACGTGACCTGGGGCCACGTGACGATACCGATGACGTCATCAGTAGCGTCACTGATGACGCCATCAGTGATGATGATGACGATGCGGATGCCGGTGACATCATCAGTGACGTCACTAATGACGTCATCAGTGATGATGACGATGACGATGCGGATGCCGGTGACGTCATCAGTGACGTCACTGACGACGTCATCAGTGCCTATGACGTCAACGGGGGGTCACGTGACCTCGGGGGGTATCCCCAGGTCACGTGACCCCAGGGGGGGTCACGACCTGGGTAACCATCGTGACCCTCGTGAGGGTAACCCTAGTAACCCTTGTGAGGGCAACTCTCGTGACCCTCGTGAGGGTAACTCTCGTGACCCTCGTAAGGGTAACTCTCATAACCCTCGTGACCCTCGTGAGGGTAACTAACCCTCGTAACCCTCGTGAGGGTTACGAGGGTGAGTAACCTTCGTGAGGGTAACTCTCATAACCCT